ATCCTTCAATTGCAGACTTTGCTCTACCAAGCACAGAGTTCTGAAGGTGTTGCATCTTTCCATTCAAAGACAAATCAGCATCATGAACATCGATGACCAATCAGGCCATTGCAAAGGGTCACCGTCAAATTTCTTGAGCTGTAACTTAGGAAGACTTGAAGAGCCATAAGTAGCCTGTTTCCACTCAGGAGTTGATGCAATATCAGTTTGTGCTGTTTTTGGTAAACTTTCAACCCAGGAGTGGTAAACAGGTGTTGATGTTTTGGACTTTGACAAGCCTTTAGGAACCATGAATAAAACGCTTGGTCTTGGTTTCATAAACATTGGTGATGATATAACCTGAGTTGCATGTACATTGTGCATAGATCCAGACAGTGGTTGGGACGATGAGGATAATGACGTAACATGACTTGTTTGTACACTTTGCGTAAATCCAGACAGTGGAATTAACTCTAGCGAATCATCATCAAAATCACGGACACGACTGGGTTAAGACTCAGGGTCATTGTAATGGGCAAAGTTTAGTACCTTCTCAAGGTTTTCGGCTTCTTCTTCTTCTTAAAAAGCAACTTAAGACATTTCTTTTCAAGAAAGCTTTTAATTTGTTGGAATAGTTCTAATGTTTAATTTCAATTTAGTTTGGAATTTTCGAATTTCATTTTTTTACATTTTACCATAGCATAACATATCATTGTAATTATTATTATAGCTTTCAAGGATTTTTAAATTTTTTATTTATTATTTATTCATTAATTTTAACTTAAATTGTAAAGCTCTTTTGAATATTCTTCTGTAGTTTTATCATTATCGTTATCATTCTGCCACAAGGCGTGCTGTCTCGTCCTTTGCTTCTTGCGTTTTTCTCCTTTCTTTAGCTTCTAACTCAATTCTTTTAGCCACGTTACCTGCTTGTTCGATCTTGTGTTTTATCTCCAGCTGTTTTGCAAACTCTTTCGTTCGTTGTTCCTCTTCCATTTCTAGCTGTCTTGCTTTTATTTCTGCCGACGCCATTTTGGCGCGAATTTTGGCCACGTGAGAGTCTGCTGAGGATTTACCCAGTTTCATTGAGCTTAATACGCTACGACTCTCCTATTTCCTTTCCTCAGCTTCTAATATCGCTTCCTTTACTCTTTCCAGCTCATCTTCATACCATTTAAGGGCATTTCATGTTCGTTTTCCGGGAGCATAGCCAACAGTTGATTGCTTAAAACTTCTGCTTCAGTGAACGACTCTTCGAAGAATTTCTACATAACCACGATTAATAGATTTCCTGCCATATTGCTCAATCGTACCTTGCATTTTCCTTAAGGTATTCTTAATTGTTTAATTTACCACAGGTTTTTATATTTTCACAGTTGAAATTCTTGATCCTTCGGCCGATTCCAGTTCACCACTATAGTTTTCATTAGCCATGATTTGCTCGCTTCATTTGCTTGATTCGTTTTATCCGGCTAGTAAAGGACCAGAAAATTGTTCCCGAAACCAAAAAATAACCATAAAAACCAAAGTATGAACAGTTCTGGACTATATTAGATTCCAAATAAGTTTTACAATCGTATAAAGGCGACCATCCAAAATAGTGCAAGCGAACAAAAACTAAAGACAAAACCTTGTGCTCACATCCGCGTTTTTTTCACTTAAGCATTTCATTTAAGCGTTTAAAATGTCACATTTGAAAAAACAGTGTCACGTCCATTTCCGGCTGTAACAAACTGGTTGAGTGACCATCCGCGAAAATCTTGTGGTGAGGACTCCTGCTTTCCTCTCTCTTTTCTATTTTGTTGTTTATTTTGTTGTTGGCCCTGTTATTTTTGCGCCGACCGTTTTAGCGGTCAAGAAATGCTCTTGGCAACCAACTAAATTTCGACATCAGATTAGTACTTTAATAGGAGCAAAAATCGTGGTAAACCGTTTTTATCATTATTTTCTTTATATTTTGTTTCTGCTTGTGGTCTTAGTCTCTGTTGGTTTGTTTTCGCTTTTCCCCTTCTGCTAGCTCTATACCTGTATAAACTTTGTAATGTTTTCCGAGATATACACGTATTTGTAATTCAAATGACGAGCCGATAGTAACTTCAGCGGAGGCACCATTTTAAAAAAACAGCCTGCAGGTAAATGTTTGCAAGGTAGATTACATCGATTATTTGATTGAAAAATTTTGCTTATATGTTTCCTTTTCAGAGCTTTTAAATATGGCAATGGATAATGCAACACGTACAGAACTTTGCTGCCCGGATAATTAGTGGAGCGAGAAAATTCGATCATATCTCTCCAGTTCACCGGGAATTGAGCTGGTTGCCCCCGCAGGGTTCCGGCCTCTGGGCCGGAACCCGAGTAGGCACCCTAATCTCCCCCGCGTAAAGAAAAAGTATCGTATTGTCGTACTGTTAGTATGCGAAAATTCTATCGATTTGATGAAACTAGGCGCGCACTGTGGTCCCGGTTAATTTTCAGCATGCGCGCCTGGCTCAGCAACCGCGCAAACTGGGTTTGGCAACGAGTCGCATTCGCTGAATTGTGTCAGGATTTCACTCCAAGCGATAACTAAGGTGAGTATTTTTATCATTGAGTATCTTGTAGCACATCAATTTTCCGATTTCTTTTCATGAAAAAGCTATTGAGCAGTACGGGAATTGTTTGGTATTAAAGAACTTGATTTGACAGACACCAATCAGCAACGTGGATCGACAGAACTTTGAACTTTGATTTGTCTGACACAAATCAGCAACGTGGATCGACAGACTCGATTCAAACCACATCAGGAATAGCTCAAATTTTTCAAAACCCAGTCAACAACAAGAAAGGTGCTAACGTGAAACAACCGGGTTTGTTCTATGTTAAGGTTTTCAGGATTTAATAAACAGAGGTCCATGTGTTTGTAGAGTTAGTTTTATATTGCGAAATCGCGATTATTTTATTTGATACAAGGATCAGAAAAAGTGAACTGGGAAATATCTCAAAGGTGAGAAACTTGAAACAGTGCTCCATGTTTTTGTAGGGTTAGTTTATCTCGAAATTATTTATATCACGTGCGTTCAAGAATGACACTCTCGAAGCCAAAGCAGTCGTTCGACACATTAGTTATAGGACATTTATATTGTTAGTTACAAATAAATAATTAAAGATGGTTTTGTTGTTTAACACGCGTTCTATTACATTTGCAGTGTTGATTGAACTCATTATGAGATGTATAAAAAACAATTGTCCATCCTAAGCATGACATGTATGAGGATTTTCATTAATCCAGGAAACAAAGTGTAATAATTGAGAAAAGAATTACACTCAGAATCTCTAATAAGAAAACTGCATTTCAAAGGTTCATGGCAAATACATGGACAACCACATGGAGTCAATTAGTCGGGGGCAGATTTAGTGACAACTATGACTAGTTACCTGTAACCCCGGCCTGCAACACAGCAATTATATCTAAGGAACGCTGTTTTTGCGTTTAAATGTATTACTGGTTGTGTTCCAGATTACCTCTTATCCAAGCTAGTTACCAGAGGCCTAGTCTCTGGCCACGTGACAGGGAATTCACAACAATTTTAATTGTTAAAAATGTCCCTTTATTTAAAACAGCCGCTGGTCAGCGATCATTCCAGTACAGAGTTGTCAGTTTGTGGAACGGCCTAGATGAAGACCTCAAATTTAAATCTGAGGTCTTACTTAAAAGTAAGAATCACAGGGATTTTAAACAGAAACTGAGGCAAATATTGTTGTATAAATTTCTTGACCCCGCGAGCGTTTCGTAAGTTTTAACCTTTTATTGCATCATAAGAATTTTAAATGGAAACTTAGGTAATTTTCTTTCTTAGACAGTTATTTTTATATATACTTGATGATGAATTATAGCTTTGTTTTGTATCACTGAAAAGCCCCGCCGGGGAATGTACAACAAACTTCTTACTCTTACTCTTAATCTAATGCAACTAGTACTACTATTAAAACGTCATTTTTTTTCCCCTCAGTCAGTCTCTGCGAACCAAAAGTTTGTTTACGTGATCTTTAAGTTGTTCCTGCTTCAACTACCTATACTCCCTCGTCGCAGCCTCTCCCCGGTTGTCAAACCGTCGTGGTCATGTTCCCGGTTCTGCTCAGTGCAACACCATTCAATAATGAAACTTCTGAGCCGCTTCCATCATCTTCTTTTGGTATATTCATATAATTGTTCTAATTTAAACGTGAACAAACAAACAAACAAACAAGTGATCATTTCACCTACAAGTGTACCAAAGATATGTTAATGAAACTTGTGCTTTTGTAGCATGTCGGAAAATGTCCGCTATACTAAGCTCTTCACGTGAGAAATTAGGTCAAATTACATAGGTATCACTTAACGAATTCGAACCCCCAATAGTTGATCTCCATAATGTCATAGAAGAGCCAAAATTAAGCCAAAGTTAATAAAGATGAGCAGAGAAGTAAATTTTATTCGAATCCATGGCGATTTTAATATAAAGACGTCCGCGCTAAATGTTTGCGTTCTATGCGTCATTGACGAACTATGGCCACAACCGATTGACGTAACAACATTCCAAATGGCTACATAGGCATCCATCGTTCTCGTAAGTTCTTTTTTTATTTATTTAGTTTTTTCTTTTTTCACTAAAACCTTTTGGTTCCTAAAAATAAAGTGGAATTTGAAAATTATTATTTAGGGCCAATTATTTATATCAGTGGTCGGGGTTTCCTTGTGTTTTCAATGCATGTTCGGTGTCAGAGAGAGTTCTTCCCTGCGTTGTCTCTGCCTTTTAAAAATTAATAAGGCAATAAAACTTCCCCACGTTCCTTTCTAGTAGGCCCGCGCGATAAAACCCGGGTCGAGACTTGTGTGGACAATTTCATACAAATCACGGCATTTTGTCGACCCAAGCCTGGAGTTAATGCCTTTGTTCACGGGAGAAAGGCAACGGTCTATGCATGGAAAACCAATGATTTGTTGAAACGAACGTTCAATATGAAATTAACAACGAAAGAAAAAAAAAAAAAAGAAAATGTACCTTATATCTTTGTAAATAATATGGGAATTGCTTAGTGATATCAGCAAATGTGGGTCTCATCAAAGGATTTTCTTTCCAACATAAACACATCATTTCATACCTGCAAATAACGAGGCAAATATTTATATATTATTCATTAAGCAAGGTTGCTACCTATTCCTATTCTTTTTGAGGGGTAATCTAATTATTTTGAGGGGGAATAAATTAACGCGATGACGTCATGTGTTGGCATGTCATTAAGATCATGTGACGTACTATTTTTAGGTTGTCTACGTAACCTGTTGGACAACTTATTTAGTTATTTTTAACGCCGATGAAAAAACTAAGAAAAGTTTTCGTTGGTTGACTCATGTTGTCAAAATAATAAGCGCTTACTCCCAAGTGACTTAAAATGACTGAAACGTAACGTAATTTTGCAAGTTCTATTTCCTGCCGCTTTCTTTGTTTATTACCTGCCTCGCAGACGCTCTAAACCTTCTGTATACAGCGTCTGCGAATTAGTGCACAATATTGTGTTCGAGCCCCGCAGAGTCGGAAGGACATATGTCGACGTTTTTGATTGGCTAGTTTCTTACGCGGTTTGTGATTAGTGCGATTTGAATTAAGTGTTAACAGGCCAAACACGACTAACAGCTCGTGACAAGCGGCGGATTGAGCTTGTGATAGTGTGGAACGTGACCTTAGAGTCAGCTTGAGCAATAGAGGTTTTTCTTGCTCTCTTTTTGCGTAGTTTATGGGTTTATGCAGTGCGAAAACCTTACGAACACTATATTTTTCTCTAGTCTATCCATACTTTTTTTACTGCAACTTAGTTTGCGCCTCTACTTAAAGAACTAACCTTATTCGTCTTGAGATTTTACACAAACGAGTGATCAGAACTATAGCTAAAACCACTTTCGATGCACATACTGATCCAATCTTTCAAAATCTTGGTATCTTAAAATTTCATGATATATACTTAATACAGCTAGGCTTATTCACGTACTCCTATCAAAACCATACTCTACCTTTAAAATTTCATTGTAAATTTACCTTACAAAGTCAAATTCATTCGTATAATACAAGAAACTCGTGTAAATTTCGTCTGCCTTTCTGTCGTACTCGAACCAAACAATTTTCCGTTTTTTATCAAGGACCTAAATTTTACAACACCTTAAACACCAACATCATCAACGGTTCCTCACCTTCTTCCTTTAAAAGAGCACTTAAGGCATTTATTTGTAATAATTATCAGTATACTCCAACAAAAATCTTGGGAAAAAGCCTTTTGATACTCAACATTTGTAAACTTCCGTAATATTGATTAGTTTAATTTTCCACCTGATATTATTTTGTATCTGTCGCCGTAACTGTTATGCCATCTTCTAAAATTTGTAATTGAGGAGGCCTAATTAGCATAAGCTCTATAGTTTCCTTTAGGCCTCCCCGCCATTTCTTACTACATTCTTTTTGGCATCTTTTTGTATGTAATTATTGTAATCGTGTGGCAAATAAATAAATACAAATACAAATACAATGGAGTATTTTATACTTTGGCTAAGCAAATTTTTTTTTGCCGCTTTGAGTCTCACATTTAGAGGTTATGAAGCTGGTCTGTTCCATGCATATTGAGTAATTAGTTACTGTGGTTAATGTTTCGGAAAATGGTTTCTGACAGGATGTGATCACGGATGCAGTTTGTTTTACCTCTGTTGAAGCCTTAAGCTTTTTTATTGTGGCTTAATAACCTTAGTCTCTTTGGTTTTCTCCTAAATGCCTCGACCTGAATAGCTACATGTGTGTTGTTTCTTTTTTTGGCCGTGAATATCATGATTTCCTACTTTGTTTTGAGATATGATAATAATTGCTTTTTTAAAATTTATTCTGAGCTGCACCTGGAGTGTCTGTTCTAGTTCGTGGTTTATAAACTGGGGCCTGTGATGATTATGGAATTGCTGTAGCTGCTACCGTACGCAGAGAAACGCCGGTGTGTCTTGGAGTTATCCAAGTCAAGGTTCGAGGTAAACGAGGTGATAGAGTGATTGAAACATACTACCCTCCTGACAATGGCTCCGAAGTGACATTGTGCCTTTTTAGCAAAGAAGCTTGAATAAGATAGGCAAAGATTTGAATTTACGCTGACAGGAATGACGTGCTCGGAAAAGGTGGTTTATAAATTGGTGGATCTTGTGGTAAAGTCGATGGATGATTCTGTTGAAGTGGAACTGTGCAGAGTCAGGGGAAAAGTAAAGACTGTTTCACGCAAACTCAACAAGTTGCATCGCAAAGGGAGGAGACATTGCTCGCTGTCCTCATTTAGTTTACGAGCACTGATATTCCCAAAATTGAAGACGAAGAAGTTTGAAGAACAACCGACACTTTCCCTGCCGCTCGAGTTAAAGACTGGTAAAGTTTTGGTTGGACTATGATTATGGCTATGATTGTTGGGTCCAATAGACGAACAGAAAGAAGATTAATTGTTCATTGACGTTCGTGTTTACCAAGGACACTCAGTTGACACGAGGAAAACTTCCAAGCGACGACGTTTCTGGTCAACGGATCAGAGAACCAATTACCGATAACCATCGCAGCCCATATAGAACCGATATCTTCATCAAGGCTAGTATTTCGATTCAAGGGGCCTTGATGTGTTTAGATTGTTTTGGTGGCCAGACGGTCAACTCATTGAGCAGCCACAAGAATACCGAACGGTGAGATTGGTGCAACGCCACTGTCCAGTGTTGTAACGTCAGTCTAAAGAAGAGTGCTTCTACTTATGTAACGGAATTTGTTCCTGACGTAGTCCAAACCGTGGAAAGAAAAATGAAAGTGGATGATTTGATTAAGTCACCTACTATTCCAAAGACCGCTTTAGGCTTTCGACACAGCAACGAGAGTTGCTAACAAAGGGCAGATTTAGATTGACAAAGTTGATAAGTAGTAACCAAAAGGTACTAGCTGAACTACCGGAAACCGAGAGAGCAGTTTCTATGGTAAATCTTGACATACAAGAATTGTCAACCGAGTGTGCAGTTGGCTTGAAATGGCACGAAGAAGCGGAAGGCAGCTGAAAGGCTTCAACATCTCGTGGAAAGAGGGTGAAGCAACTGTTAGCTCGCTGTTTGATCTACTGAGCTTTATAAGCTCCCTACACGATAAAAGCCAAGCTACTACTACGAGACGAGCTTTACCGCGAGAAATTAAGATGACACAATCTGATTTATGAACCTGAAAAAATGCAGTGGTCGCGTTGGTTTGACGATCTCCCACAGTTGAAATCTTATGTTAACGGTGCCTGAAATCTAAGGATTTCATTAATTTCAGTAAAGAGTGTTCAGCTGCATATCGTCTCTGATGGATCTCGCGTGGGCTATGGAGCAGTAGACTATCTGCGCTTTTTCAACGCCGGTAGAATCCATTGTAGCTTCGTTATGGGAAAGACAAGATTGGGTCCCATACACGAAATCACACTACCAAGATTGGAGTTGACTCAGTAAAGCTGAGCCAACCATACGAGAAGAGCTAGAGACCAGGATAGATCAAGTTAATAAAAATGAACTGATTCTGAAACTGTGCTGAAATGCAACGATAGTGATACGAAGCGCTTCCACATGATTGAGGTAAACCGCCTTACTAGGGGTTTGTCAGTCGGGATGACAATCCGGCGGATGATTCATCAAAAGGTTCAAGGTCTGAAGAACCTAACGAAGAATAGTCGATAGCTGAATGGACCAGCGTTTCCTTATGGAAGTACTAGGCTCCCTGGCCTGCAATAATTTTAAGTCCCGGAACTGATACATAGTGACCCAAAGTAAGAGGAAAAAGCAAGATTTACGCCACTACTGCTTCTTAGAATCCTCTTGACAAGTTCGTATATCAATATTCTTTGTGGTGGAAAATAAAAAGAGCATTTACTTGGCTGATGTAGTAAAGTTTACGAGCAGAAACAGGGAAGCGTCAAAACCAGTACGCCATCCTTAGTAACAGAGCGTTTTTAAACGGGAGTCTTACAGTGGAAGAACGTTATTAGGCTGAAAAAGAAATACCGCAAAATTCCGAAAATAAGCCCCTCCATTCATAAGCTCCTTCAAATGTAAGCCCCCCAAACTCGTAACGCAAAAAACCCTCCGTTAAATCGCTCCTCCAAAATAAAAGCCCTCCCGGGGGGCTTGTACTTGGAAATTGCCCTGAAATACAAAGTAAAACAAAGCAAAAACGGTAAATTTCCTTCCAACTATAACGGTAGCCCAATCGATTTTGAGACGCAAATTTCCTTTCGTAGATAAGCCCCTTCGAATATAAGCCCCTCCAAAAATAAGCCCCTCAAAAAGGACCTTTGAAAAATATAAGCCCTGGGGCTTATTTTCGGAATTTTACGGTATTTAAGGCACCTGCTACCTTGTCGGACGAAAGACAAGCCAAAAGGATTTTACGAGGAAAGGCTCATCAAATTTTAAGTTAGGCCAAAAGTTGAGAGGTGGATTATTATCCTTTCATTCGTCCAAGGGATGACTATATCACAGAACTAATAATTGCTTTTCCTATCGCCATGAGAAAGTAGGTTACATTAATTGGACAGGGGTCTGTGTTTTTATCTCTCAGAAAAGGTTCTGGACTTGTAAATGGACGTTCTGTAGTGCGCGAGTGTTAACGGTAGTGAAGACTGTTAGAAAAGAAAAGCTTAATTGGGACCACAATTGATCTCAAATTTGCCGCAAGAGGGAGTTACGCCGCACAAACCTTTGTTCACGCATATTGGAGTGAACGTTTTTGGTCCATAAGAGAAACAAGGCCGAAAGCAGAGTGAAACAGTATAGTTGTCTATTCACTTGATCAACATTCCGAGCCATACACATCGAAGCTGCGCACAGCTAGAACACAGTCTCAATGTTTAATGCCTTAAGAAGATTCATTAATCTCAAAGGTCTCCTAAAGCAAATTCGAAACGACTGTGGAAAGAATTTTACCAGAGCTGATGAGTAGTTGGGGCTAGACCTGTGTCGATGAGTGTATCAGCAAAGAATCAATGGGTTTTGTACATACAGAGGGATTAAATGGATCTCCAACCCACCTGGGACATGCCATATGGGAGGAGCTTGGGAGAGGATGACAAAGGCCGTACACCAGATCCTAAAGGCCTTATTAACACGAGCTGTACAGTCAGAAGGTGCGCGAAACGACAGAAGGGAGGAGAAGTGCAAACTACGACAACAGTTCTTAAACGGCCAATTATGAAACCTGCTCATCATCGTTGTCCTCGTCTTTATCTTCATTAACATCATCTTCTACATCATCCTCACAATATTTTCAGCTCTTATTCTCGGCAAGCCCTCTCCCTCATTCAAAAAATTGGGTATTCCTTCTATCGCCATTATATTGTTTCGGACAACCCACTGTTTCGTGTCGATTGCTGTTAGACTTAAGGCTAAATGCTCTCGGACAGAATAGCTAAAATGTACCATTCTCTCGCCATATTAATTCGATGACCATTTGATATGGAAAGTGGACACGCAAAACTCCCCCGTTTAATTAATTTAGTTTTAAGTCACTCAGGACTACTTTACTTTCAAAGCGATGGCAGAGCCACTGTGAGTGGTCAGTGAGCCCCTTTGAGCTTAACTCTGGGCAACTCTTAGTAACTCAGAGCAACCGTGAAAAATCATTGAGCATCTCAAAACAACACTGAGTGATCAACGTCACTACCTCAGAGCCACAATGCGTGGTCAGTGAGCCCCTTTTGAGCTTTACTCAGGGCAACTCTAAGTGGCTCAAAGCAATGTTAAATAACCATAGTGAGCAGCTCAGAGCAACACTGAGTAAATAGTATACACATTAGCGCTACTGTGAGCAGCTCTAAAGTAGCTCGAAGCAACGCTGAATAATCAGTGAGCAGCGCCGAGCAACGCTGAGTGAAGAGTGGGCACGTGCACCTTTGCGCTAATAAGAGCAACTCTGAGTAATCAAAGAGCATCCGTTGTAGTAAATGTATGGGGGGCGGGTTCAGTGAGAGAAATAGTATGGAAGCGGGGTTTAATAATGAGGTCGCCATCTTAAACTTTTTATGTGAACACGTTTTTACCAATGAGGTCGCTATCTTGAATGGGAGAAAATTTTGGTCCAGAGAAAGCAAAGTTGAAATCGAACAACTAGAATGCAGCGGCAAATATTTTGTCTCAAGTTCAAAACAAAGCCTCAGTATAACGATTTCGTTCGGTTTTAAACATACCACACTATTTTGCTTAACTGTGCTTAATGCTGGGTGACAGAAAGTACGACAATCGTTTAAATTCGAATCATTTGGAACCGAGAATTGTATTCAATATATTCGACCCTTCCTCGAACTTGTTCTAAGGAAACAAAAGGGCTATTAACTTAATTAACAACGTTTGAAGGTCTGCTCTATGACATTCCGCTTTCTACGAAACTTAAAAGAAAAAACGCCCTCTTAAAATAATTATCAGTTATCCCCTTTAAACTTGAGTGATTTCAAAACAGCATGCATCTATCTTTTGACATCACTATTTACCTGTCACAATTTCCATATGTTAATCACCATCATCGGATCCGCATGATCCACCCTCCTAGAAACCTAATTTGCTATACTACTTAGTTACGTTACTTTGCGAACTTACAGTTTCTCTGAGCTATGTTCCGGACGGGACATCCGGTTCCCCATGGAGAGCCAAAGTATGAGATCCATTGGCGTTTCTATCTTAGGGTATGGCTCCTCACCTGAAAACAACAACCAAGATAACAACTTATTTTGCTTAGGAAACAGCTATGAGAACACGATAAAAATTTGCTAATATTTGATACCCACCGTAAGTGGCAATTTCCCACAAGACAATACCATAGGACCATCTTTAAGGAAACGAAAGAAACAGAAAGATATACAAGTCAAATAAATCCATTCACATGCACGATCGAATATGACTAAACGGTATGTAAAAACATGAAGTCAAAAATCATTGCTTTAAGTATCGCAGCTGATCTTTGATAAAACCAGTTTGGAAACCTACACGTCACTTTTGGCAGTATATACTTGGGCCTTTAACGATTCTAAGGATAACCATCTCCAAGGTACTCTGCCCTACAGAAGAGAGAAAGATTCTCGCTTTAGAATTTGAATAGCCCGCGATCATGTCCTTTCGGCATCCCTATTACATACTAAAAAATCGCAAAGTAGAAGTTGAAGGGAATACCTTAAGAGCCCCCCCCCCTCCCTTGTTCGCTTTTAGCCCTGGCTAAATCTATTTAGTATATACTAAAACAGTGGATAGTGTTTTTCGCGCGCTCTGATTGGCTACTCAATCAGTGAATATCCTGCACTATTCACTGATTCACCTCCAGTTCCTCCGAGCGAGCGACGCCAAACTCACGTAGGTTGCGAGCAAAATGCCTTCCCGGCCTGCTGCCGTGATAAACTAAGAAATTTCACAACTAATCAAGCAAGCTATTTCCGAAATACATGAAGAAGGTGACGAAGTTCGGTTTGGAAGTTTTAACTGGTAAAGCTTTGTCTTTTTGACTTGAATTTATCGATAAAACCGGTGAAAAAGTTTTTTGTTTACAAATGCAAATTAAGCTTAGGTCTTGCGTTACTTTATTTACTTGACTTGTTCATAAATAAGCTTAAAACTGAATTTAATAATCTTTTTTACAGAATTATTTTAAATACAAAAATAATTCACAACCGCTTTTGAAAAAAATTCCCGGCAAGAGCGAAACAAACGCCTTCAAAAGTCTTATTTGTCGCTAAGAAAAAGCGCCGACCGCGACCGTTCGGTAATGGCGCGCCAAAATTGTGATCGTTGGCAACAGTAAATGAGTTAAAAATCATCATTTTTGTGCTCAATTATCTCACTGTTTTAGTATTTACTAAAACAATTATTCACCTCAGTGTCGGTGGCTAGTAGTAGTATTTACCTCGCCGCTTCGCGGCCTCGGTAAATATCCAATACTAGCCACTTCCACTTCGGTGAATAATTGTTATATATTAATTCCCTCCGGATGTAAACCCCTCTCTAATTTTTCCTGTTTTAGCAAGCACTTTTTAGGATTTCTGTAAGTTTTCAATGCTTTACAGTTTCCGTACAATACTGAGTTAACAGGCTTAACGAAAGGCTTTGTTTGTGTACAGTACGTATTTGCCACTTATGATGGAGTCTGAACTTCAGATTTGTTATGTTCCTGTTTTGTTCGTTCTGTGAGTTTTCTCTTCCAAATGCTTTGAAATGAATTCGATTTATTATAACACTTTAATTAAAAAAGACAGTAAATGATAAACGTATTTTTATCAGCACTGTTATTTAACAATTAGTTCATGCAACAGCGTGCATATATCGTGATATTGAGTACGCGGGAAGTCTAGAGAACACGAAAAAGGCGTAAGAGTTTAGAGTAACTCTAACCTCTCGAGTGCTCTCCAAACTTCCCAAGTGCTCAACACCTCGACATACGCACAGTTGAAGCATGAACTAATTTTCTTATAACATTATCAAAGCGATCGATATAGCAGTTCACTTAAAATTTTATTATTGTAGCGCGCGTCAGTGTCTACGTGACTATATATATATATATATTTACCTGACAGTTATGTTTTAAAGCTTATCTTGAAACTGAGAGAGATTTAACTCAACTCACTTAAGATAACATTACAAAAGATTGAAAAATCCACATTGGGGTACCGAAAAACTATTAATTCAAAGATAAATTCTTCTAGAGAGAAAGATTTTTGCAAAGAATGATTTGCACACGCCATAGCCCGCACAGCTCGCGCAGATGACAACAACAACAACAACACATACCTAATTTCCCTACTATTGATTAAGAAATTCAAAAGTTTTCTCTTAAACTTACGTTATGAAATACATGGTAAGCGCTTCATCGCGTATACACTTGCATTGGGAGACGTCTTGGGAGGATGGTCACAAAGACTTGAGGTATAGTTTATTGACGTCATCAGTGTGCTCAATGGGAATATGGAGCACGCTCGCGCCATTAAATTTGATTAGGCGAACATTCTAGTTATGTTATAAAGCTTGTTCTAGTCCGGTGATAAGCGCCCCTCGGTTATAAGCCCCCCTCGGATATAAACCCCTCAGTTTATAAGTCCTTCTAAAACCCTTTACGAAGATATATAAGCCCAGGGCTTATAAGCGGCAGTTCACGGTATATCATTCTTATGGTGTCTCGATTTACAGTTGAAAATTTCGGCTGTCCCAAAATTGTGCAGTTCAAAGCGGTTCCCGAACCCACATGTACTTACACAGGATATTTTGGTGTAAATACCATAGTCTGAGATATCACGTGCCAATCCAAAGTCGCCAACTTTGGCTACGAGGTTTTCTCCAATGAAGACATTTCTAGATGAAAGGTCGCGATGAACGCACTAAGAAGAAATAAAAAGATACAAAGATAAAAAATAATATACTGGTAAAAGCTCAAAACGTACAGAGATGCGGGGAGAGCCTCGAACTAATGAAACCTAACTGTGAAAAAAGTGATTGGTGCGAGGGCTATAATAAGCCCAATGGTAATGGAGAGAAATGGAAAATTCGGCGCTAAATCTTAGCGGTTTTTTTGTTGGTTTGCATGAGATTAGAATCTGACATCCACTTTCCTCTCAGTAAATTCTTAAAAACTTAAAAAAGCTTTGTAAAACGACAACAACAAACAAACAACTTGCATTGTTTAACACTACATCAAACTGAAATAAAGACTCATTTTAGGCAGTTTACGAAACATATCATGTCAAAATAATAATAAATCAAACGAGGAGAGGATAAAGGGGACAAAGAAGGCATCCCCCATACACACCCTATTCCATAGGTAATTCGTCTCGAGTTATTTTTAAGACCATAGATCCCAAGGGGGATTAGACAACAGCCAATCACATGGCGCGAATGTGTTCCACGTGGATCACCCACGCTCAGAGCCACGCGTCCTTCACGAATTGACGCAGAAAAAAATGGCGGAAGACGCAGAGAGCGATATTGCTATCTGTTTTGTCAGCGAAAACGACTAACGAGAGATTTCTGCTAAAGCTGTGTCAGCGAAACGGAAATTAAAAAAGAATCGCCCTCCCTGTCTTGTATAGAGTTAACAGTACAGCAGGGAAATCCTTAACTCACTGAATATTCTCTCAGGATCATTTATAATTTACAGTTTGAAGAGAGCAATTTCTGGTTTGATATTTATTCTTTTATTAGTCTTTTATTATTCAACAAAAATAAAACTTGGCGTCCTACTTGCTTTTTTATACAAACGACCGGTTTCAATAGACCGGCGAAGCACTGAGGTTACGACAACTTTGAGTTCAACTGATTTCACGGGTTGTCAAAGAGTGCAGCGATTCCCTTGTCCCAGATGAGCGCCGACTCATTTCGCTTCAATATTCAGAAATGCTCTCAATCTCTTCACGCTTTCATTGCCTTTCGCCCGACATGTTTTGCACGGCGTTGAGTCATGCGAAACCTCCGCGAAACATCCACGCAGCGCGCGAGGTAACTTTATCCCGATTCTAAAAATAACTCGAGACGAATTACCTATGGAATAGGGTGTGTATGGGGGATGCCTTCTCTGTCTCCTTTGTCCTCTCTTGATCAAACTAAATCATTATCCGACTGATAGAATAGCATCAGTGGGAGTAAAGAGTGTAATCTTCGTGGTGGCGCGTAAATTGTCGCAGGTCACAGGTGAATTGTCGCGGGTTCCGGGTGGATTTTCGCAGGTCGATCGTGGGTATATTTTCGCGGGTGGACAAGAATATCAAAAAACGAATTAAAAATAAACCGAATTTTGAGACTGTGGCGAGCATCAAATGCTGGGGTCAATAAGGCACATTCACCTTAGACTTTCTTTTGAGTGTTCCAGGAGTATTTTGTTACTTAATCTTAACGTTAAACTTTGATAGCGCTCTTCTATTCTATGCCTTTATATCCTTTAATTTAGCGAAAAACTTAAAATTTACGTATATAGTACGACACAGCTTTGCTTATTTAACGAGTGATTGAAAAGGTGAAAGAAAGCTGCATCCGGCATCCCAGTTTTCTCAATATTTTTCTTGGTATCACAACCTAGGAATCCCCATTGGACCAATTCAGGAGCTTAGTTTGCTGACGATTCAAACAATTAGTCATAATACCGCCGTCGATACCAAAACTCAAGGAAACGCGCAGCAGTAGCAAGAGAGTTGCGTAGATCCTATTTCATCATCGAAAGCCGACAAACAATGCAGTACATGTACACGACTTTCATAATGGCGGAACTACGTAGCTCGTTGCCTGGTTCTATTGCTATGAAGCGAGGTCAGGGAAGCCTCTTGCAGATTTTAAACTTACAGGTGGGTCGAGGAAATTAGTTACTTTAGCGAATTGAGATGGTTATTCAAACGCTGTAATTCTTCCGGCAATCGGAATTCCAGGTGCTGCCCCTCCCCTACTCCCCTCTCCTGATCAAGTGTAAACCTGAAGAGCTAAAGATATTAGAATTGAAGTTTTGATAGGGGGGTCTCGTAGCAAAACGGGCACAGGACCAAAAAAAAAAAAAAAAAAAAGAGCAGAGGTTAAGACAAGGAGCTTGTGCATTTAGATCCCGACAGAATTTAGAGCCGCAGAAAAGAAAAGCAGATCCGCCTTCAATACAGATTTCAAAATTAAGCCAGACAACACAGAAAGAATGAGAAGAAGAAGAAAAGAAAGAATAAAGGAGGATTAGAAGAAGAAGAAAAGAAAGAATAAAGGAGGATTAGAAGAAGAAGAAAAGAAAGAATAAAGGAGGGACCTGTATGACAGGATATTCGCGGCGGGTGAGCCTCCAGTTCCTAACCAAGCCCGACACTGTACTTGAGTAGCGCTACTCAAAAGCCGAGCCTCGCGAGGGTTAACAGGAGATAAGTATTTCAAGTAACCTTATCACGGGCGAAGCGCGTGGATCGCGCGTGGATTGCGCGTGGTCTTAGCGGTCTTCAAACTATCTTTTACCAGAAACTCATACGAGGTTGAAACGTGCCACTCTCATATGTTTGCTTTGTTCGATGCTCGTGATTATTCATTTTCGAAACTGACCAATCGTGACGTAATTTTACTTCACGTTCCTGCGCCCGCTTAAAAAAATGGCCGACTATAAACGGGGGAAAAACTCCCGAAAACCGAGAAAGCTTTCAAAGGTTGAAATCAGGAATCTTACCGAAATACTGAGCAAGATATTATTGCCTTTCCACCCGGGCGAAACGTAACATTGTGAAACCCACTGACGTCCTCGCAACTTCTTGAAATTGTCACTTCAAAAAACGAAGCCTCGTTGACCGTCTGAACAGTTAAACTAAAAACTGCAAATAGGCTTTTAAAATTCTTATATTAAGAGTCTAGAATAAACAGTTAAAAATATTTTCGAATAAAATTCATTACCTGCGTATCAGTGTCCAAAACCTGAACCTGACATCTGCGCAAAAAAGTGATGCGTTTACTGAATGTGAGAAGCATTTAAGCTTAAATTCAGCTTGGATGTTGTAGTCACGAACGTGTGTTGAGCTAATTTTATGAATGAACAAAGTCAACACAATAGACAGAGAAGCCGTTTCTTGAAAATTTTTATTCAGAATCCAAAAGGTTGATCCTTTAAAGCAATTCGGAAAACACTATCTGGATCGTGGATCCGTTCACGCAAGTGAAATCGGCTGAGCCCATGGCAAAATTCAACATAACCTGAGATCAGGCTCTATTTTCGTTTCGCTTTGAAAATTACATTCCGGCGGGCAAGGCGAAACGAAAAGAGAGGCCCAATTTCAGCGGTAGCCGTTAGAGAGAATGTATGAGAACCGCTCAAATTGGGCCTGATCTCAGATTAAATTCAACACAAAATCCATCTCAAGTCAGGGCACATTTTGTAATTTTTCTTTAGCGCCGAAGAGAAAAATTTATAAAACGTCTATGAAACATTTAAAAATACATAAATTCCCTTTCAAAAACGTAATTGTCTTGGCCATAGAGTGCAAAATGTACCTGAAAATTCAGTAAAAACTTCGCTTCCTTGGTTGCATTTAACAGACCATGTGCTCCGCAGTGAAGAAAACAAGGTTGAATTCCTCGAAGGACGATTTCTTGATGAAAAGCTTCCCTTCCTGCACAAAAAGAAAGCGGAGCATTCTTTTGAACTTTCTCTTTCCATTTTTTGTCTTTTACCGGTGTATTTTTAACCTTGAAATGCAGAACTCTTGTCTTAAAACATCTGCATGGTATACCGGCCAACTTTTTCTGAGATGTAGGCGTGAGATTTTTATCCTGGGAGTGCTGGGATTTTTGAAAACGACACGATCATTTCCGAAGATTCCCGAAGAAGTCCGAAGTCTTCCGAAGACGTCCGAAGTCTTCCGAAGACGTCCGAAGTCTGCCGAAGGCGAAGTTATTGAGAAAACGCTTATCCACAAAATCAGAGATCGCGAGGAAGGTATTGTCATTTATTCATTTTACACATGGTTTTCGTTCCTTACATGGGTCTGAGTTAACATATTTTTGGAAATTGTGTCAAGCAAGACGGCAACAACTCACATTTTTCAATCAGGCGTGAGAAATTGGTCCGCAGGCGTGAGCGGGCGTGAGATCGAAGTTTTCAACCCGCAGGCGTGAGAGTTGGCAGGTATAGCATGGTGATCACGCGGCAGCCATTTTGTTGAAAATGGATATCCGTCACTGAGGTTTCCAAAAATGGTAAAAGTGAATATTCACGAGCATTGAACGCGAGTTACACGTTTCAACGAGGCTCCCATTAATAAATTATTTATAATTTAAATTAAACAATAAACTTGTATTCGAATTCCACAATTCAGTTAATTTTAGAGCACATTTATGTGACTTTTGAGGGAAAGGCTACCTGATTTTAGAGAAAAATAAATTGCAAACAGCCCAAGAGTGAACCAAATCTTACATCGAGTTGATAGCCTCATATGTACACTTAAAAACTGGTAATCATCTTCGATCACATTTAAGAGCCATAATGGCTCTTGATCACCGTAGATTAATTAGTGGAAAAAAAAATCAGGCCAACTTTTTTGCGTTCGACAAGTTTACTTTGCAAAATCTTGTCAACAAATCTGGGTGCGTGTAAACCAACCTTTTATACCATTTATACATCACGTCTGAGGTGAAACAGCAGTATGAGGTACTGTTTTTATCATACCGGCAGACCTCGGACAGAAAGCAGTATTTCACAGTACAAAATGCACTCATTCAAAATTCATAAACTGTTAAAAAAATTTCCGAAATCACCCATACGGCCATCCGGTTCTCACTTTTGTAGTGCGAGCTGTGGCGAGTGTTTGAATGAACATTAACAGAGTTACGCGCGGCATTTTGAGTTGAATAACTCCTGCAAGCGATGTTCACTGAACGACTGAAAAGAATCGGCACAGCCATTAAAATTGTAAGAGAGACTACTAACAATCAATAAAAGAAATATAATTCGGTGAAACATATACAGAGACAACAATTTTCATTCAGGAAGACAAGTATTAAAGTGTCCCTAAAAATCCTGAGTCTTCAAGCTTCAAGCTTAAGTTTATGTTTTAAGCCGGCTTCCCGGTGTTTGCTTTTTTCAAAGACGAACTCGAGGCAAGAAAATCGCTCAAAGCTTTCTTTTCCGGCCAGAATTATAACTAAATATTCTTTGGAACGTTTTCTTTCTATTTGCGGTGAGAAACTGTCTAAAGGTTTTTTAAAGTTCTGTAAGCTTATATCAAACCTGATACTCGGTCAGATCATTGTCTCAAATCTTACAAACGTGCATAAACTACGCTCGACTTCATTAAATTAGATACAAAAAACAAACATCAAATACAGTAATTTCTCTAGCTTACCATTCGAGATGCAGCCCCTGAAAGGTATCGAGAAAAGCCAGTATCGCTTCAGACTTTGCAATCCTCTTGCGCATCAAGCAAGATTAAAACGAAAACGATGCTATCCGAAATCGGATTCCGACTTTGATAAGCGACGTATTCCTCAACCCAAAACCCAATAAACAAACTAGCCATGAATAACAGAAGACTCCTGATAGCAGCTGAATTTCATTTTGCACATCCAGTGGAAAAAGACAGTTAAAAACATCACAAGTTGACACAAAACTCTGTCAGCTTCAGCTGTCAAAGTAAACAAGATTCAAGATGCTGCATAAATTTTCCGCATGAACTCACCTGTCAAATTTTGACCAATCAGAGCATAAAAATTGGACGTGACCAACGCGTGACCATGGTGAGAAAAGTCAAAACCAACTGTCTTCCCTGCCTGTAACAGCTGGCTGAATTTTTGCGTCCGAGGTCAGTTTACAATCAAAATTTTAATTGTGTAGCACATAAACACAACATATTTCATATGAATTTAGAAAAAAATTGAAGTTGAGCCTGCGATCACTTTAAAACTAGTAACTTGTCAGCGGATAGCTTCAAAAAATACTTGACCTCGATGGGTCGACACCTGAGCCCGCGATACGGTCAAGTGATACTGGTCAGCGGGTACCCTGTTTTGACAGCTGTCAATTGATCAAAACATTGATGTCCAATATGTGTGCATTAACAGTTTAACTAGTATGAGATTGAACATTGTTCGCGACCTAGTAAAACAATTAACTGGTCAGCGGACAGCTTCCAAATAAATCACATCACCTCGATGAGTTGACACATGAACCCGAGATATGGTCATGGGATACTGGTCAGTGGCTATTCTGTTTTGACAGCTGTCAATTGACCATGTTGTGAATGTCCTATACTAAAATCCTATATTAAAGATGTGGACTTGCCAAGACACGCTTGAGACACCCGTCCCTTCCTTTTGATGGTCTCCCCTACCCCACCCATACAATCTGTAGACGCGTACGTACGTACGCTCGGTCAATCACGTGACAACCAAACGAAAAGAGGTTGACCATATTCCATGAGTATGGGGCTCTGTCCCACGCGCGCTTCGCGCGCGCGGGAGCCCCGCTAAAAACTTTCCAATTAAGGATTAATTTGGATAGTTTCAGAGAGGACTTTCGATAGTCGAGGGCTATGTGTATTTAGTATCACCTAACGAGTGGACTAATGCAAATCCTGCATTTTAATTGGCTACACTCAGGGGGCTATTAGTCCTTGAGTAGGGAAATTCGCCGATTTTTAAAATTGACCAAAACAATGGCGGCCACTTCGCGTTTTGTCTAGGTTTCAAATGAGTTTCTAGATAACTTGCTAGACATTTCCATTCTATAAAATACTAATAAAAGTATGGAGTGAAGATATTAAATGGTAAGTTAACTTTGTTTTTACTAGACGAAATTGCGAACATTTGACGTGGTTTCGTTTTAAGTTAAGAAAGAAGAGTTAAATGAATGTCTCACAATGTTTTACGCTGCTGTCAGGCGAGAGGACGGCACAGAGTTCAAAGTTTTGTCTCTTAAAGCGATCCGGGCAGCTGTCAACCGATACTTAAGACAACCTCCCAACAACAAGCCATGGTCGATAGTCGGCGACTCAGCCTTCAAAAAATCTAACAAAGTCCTTAACGCTATTTGCAAACAAATGATGTAGGAGGGGAAAGTTGGGCCGACCCTTCATAAAAATCCTATTACGAGCGAACAACTGCAACAGCTTTACGGAACAGGGCAATCCTCCGTACTGAATGGTTTTACATAACCTTTTATTTCGGTAAAAGGGAATGAAAATCACAGAAAGCTCACCTCAGATATGTTGGTTCTTCGGAGTACACCTCAAGGGCGAAAAAACTGTTCCTTTTGAGATTTTTTCGATAGCAACGCTACCATTTTTCATGAAGTGCCTGACGCTACTATGTGGCCCTGAATCAAGGCAATACTACATATAGACTGTTCACAACCTTTCTTGTAAGTAAATAAAGGATGACAAATTAAAAGTAATAATAATAATAATCTCGGGCAAATCTTGCTTTCCAAGCCAAACCCACGCGCTTTTCTTTAACGTTCGCGTCCAGGGCTAGTAGCCTGCGTTAGGGCTGGGAATCGTTTACTGAAACAGATGCATTGAAAAATGCGCGAGTTGTAAGTTCTCATTAAAACACAGGATAAAGTTATTTTCAAGCCAACCTTTGCCACACGCTTGGCAATCAGTAGAAAAAAAATGGCAGTCTCCCTAATAATGCTATTTTTCATTCACTCAGCTGGAATTGCGGCAAAATAATTTATTTTTATGTCCACGCTAATAAGGGTAAAAAAAATCTTTCAACGACAACTTGCTGTAAAATTTCTTGATTTTGACTCCTGTTTTGCAATTTTCGTTTATCCTGGACTCCGGTTGCGTAAATATTAAACAGTTCGTGCAATTTCTTTCATAAAGGTGTTCTTCCAGGAATATTAAAATATTGGTTGTCGTGATGTGAATTAAACTTTCTTTTATCTTATTCACCCAAATATCGAAAGAGTAATTCGTAAGGTGTTCGAAGATCTTTGGATCATCGACAAAAGTTTTCGGAAATATTTGGACTACTTCTTAGAAGATAAAAAAGTCGTATGAAACGGTAAGTTTCAATTCTTGACCACCGCCTCTCTCCATTTTCCCCTTTATAGTTGTTTAAGGTGGCTTACTACAGTTTTTTTCCAATAACAGCGAGCTTGACCCGCGCGCTAAGCAAGCCACGCAAGATCTCTTACGCATACAAAACTCGCGCGAGCGAGACAAGGAAAACCCCGAGATCAAACAATATGAAAAACTTCCGAAAAAAAATTCCTCTTTTATTCTGGGGTTTCTCAAGAGGTAATTCTGTGCCAAACCTTTTTAGATACATTTGAGTAAAACGTTTTTTTATTATGCAGGTTTTCGTCTCAAGAATATGACAAAGAGATATTAAACTTTCGCACTGACGTGTCAACATTGTTATTTTCGACAACTGAAAAACGTTTTGAACAAGTGGATAATAATCAATTTTGTACCTGCAGCATCTGTTCTAGTTTATGATTTGTAAAATACAACAGTCGCTTTTGCAACAGACGAGAAAAAAAAATGTACATAAAATGATTCGGCTTCGAGCGGAAGAAACAAAGGAACACAACGAGACTGCAATTTGTGACACTTAACTCTCTAATTCTTCTCTTCTTTTCTCCCAATGTTGTTAAGGAATAGTTTTTTGAGCTGAGTGGACCCATTTTCGCAGCCAACATTGAGGAAAAAGAAGAGACTGAAGAGCGTTGACAATAGTATATGGGCGTTCATGAGGTCCTTGACCCAGGTTGTAATGTCACACGTTGTAGAAAGGGTTCGGTTTTTCAAGCTGTTTTGCAAGTTATCATCAATAAATCCTAAATGTGTGAAATCTAAAAATTCTATGAATGTGAAAATAAAGGTTTCTCTAATGCCGTGGTTCTAATAAGAATAAAGCTAAGTCATATTTTGTTCAACATTGCCACTGACAGAGTACGTAATAAACAAGACGATTAATTTTGCCAGCAGTAGCAGACACGAAGGCAGAGTTACATCAGTACCGTTATAGCTCCCATGAGAGACTTCTGGCCGGTGAGAACGAGCAATGACTTTGTCGACAAAAAATTGTGGAGAAGTCTTTCTCTGAAGGCGGTTTGCCGCGATGCAGTTTGCACACGTTATTATACTCGGAGATGAACTATGTAGCCACTTTGTTAACATATAAATTTTCTTTCATGTTCCAAAGCAAATTCCCCCACCAGGGGAACAGGGGCGGGGAGAAGAGACAAGGTCTGGGACCGAGAAACGATGTTCTCACAACTGGTTGCAAAGCGGTCATCTTGCGCGGTGGTCAGCGGATAATAGCAATACAGTGAAACCTGTATTAAGCGGACACCGTATTAAGCAGACACCCTCTATTAAGCGGACAGTAGCTGAAGTCCCCAAATTTATTTCCCTTATTTACTTTAAATGAAACCTTTATTAAGGGGACACCTCTATTAAGCGGACGCGGACACCTAAAAAGTACCTGAAATGGCCATTTCTGTTGTTGCCAACCTGTATTAAACGGACACTTGTAATTGAATTCCACCACCCAACACGCCAGACACCGGAAATGCAAAAGATTGCGTCGAATTGCCACCCACAAATTTTTCGATTTTTACATTAAAAAACGTGACTTGGCGAACTTATTTCCTAGTTTCACAGTACAGGATTGTATTCTATTTCGTTTTGTTTGTGTAGAGCTTGTTTCACTCATCTGATTTCTTCAAATTTGAGTTGCAAACCATGTTTATGGTACTATGATCAATTGGCTCACTTTAATAAAGAAATTAATGCAAACGTCTACCGTCATAGTCTCTGGGAGTATTATAAACGCTTCCACTGTTCATTTGAATGGCATTTGACACCTCATATGACGTTATCTATCGAAACCTCTATTAGGCGGACACCCTGTATTAAGCGGACACTACAGCATTCCCCGAGGGTGTCCGCTTCATACAGGTCTCACTGTAACTGCAATATTTTTCCCAAAGCAAATATTTTAGAAGCGAGAGGCGAACCGGCAAAGGAAATAATTCAATATTTTTTAAAAAATACATCCTGCCTCTTTGTTTTTCTCGTATAACTTATTTGTCCTTTGGTACTGAAAGTGCGAGGGAAACCAAACGCAAACGACAGTCACTGCAACCGTGTAATTTCTTAACCGACAACAACGCGCGCTGGCCTATCGATCGAGTTTATAAAGGTTATATCGTTTTCGCCAGGCGAGGACATCAGAAGATTATAGAAGTTATGATGCTGAAAAAAATTACTTTTTTTACCCTTTTAGGGTGCTCGGTCACTATATTTCGCGTTAAACTACATAATAAAATGTTTTTTACAAGGTAAAGTGATAACTTACATCAATTGCAGTGAATAACAATTCAGTAGAAACCTTCAGTTGCTAAAAATGTTCCAGTTTTTTGAAAAAGTCGATAGTTTTCATCCGAAAACTGTAGTAAGTAGTATTAGTCGTGACTTAAGGACACTTAGTACTTCATGTAATAATCACGAAATGTCCTCTAGTACTTTCCTAAAGAAAAGAAAACCAAGAAACCAAAAAAGACCACCGGAATGGAAGTCGTTGAATCAGTTCAAGAAGCACCAGAACCCCAAGTGATTGTAAATGAGAATGCACAATGAGCATTCGAAAATGTTGCTCTTCCCACCTATGAAGAAATGATGTTTCAAGACTGGTTAGTATGTGGAAACGTAGAACGTAAACGTAAAATTATCTGCCATCCTGGACGGAGGAGACATTTACCATTGCCCAACCAATACCCCGAGATCCTCCAGTGTATCGCCTAAAGGAAGCAGACGGTGATTTCATTCAATCCACCTTTTATGAGCCAGAGCTACAGAAAGTACTAGGAAAGCCAGATCACTTGTTTCGCATTGAAAAAATTTTAAGGTATCGTGGAAAAGGTGCTTCCAAAGAAGCGTTGGTTCATTGGAAAGGCTGGCCCAAGAAATACGATAGTTGGATTCCTTATAAGCAGCTGGTGTCCTTACAGTACACATGAAACAGGTGGAGATTTTTACGTTATACTTCCCAGTAATGCCAATACGAACTTCTTTCCTACCAACTCAGCTTCGTATTACCGTGTTGCATTACCTCTTCAAATTCATTTACCAGACGAAGAAGATTGGGAAGTTGGACTTCATCATGTCATTTATCCATTCTCTTGGTTCGAAGTCCCTCACCAATGCAACCACCCCCATCTCATGTTGCGGCGATTCAGAAGTCAGCACATTGAAAAGTTCACCTTATCTGTCGGACGGTATCGAACAGCATTAGATGTGGTAGAATGCAATGCACGAACAAAGCCTCCACACCCTGGCACTTGAACATAGCTATTGATAATGAGTGGAACATAACAATCACATCTCAAGACGTGTGGATAATGGTGACAGCCCCTGTTGCCCAAGCACTTGGATGGATAAACAGTGAAAACAAACCTCGTCAAGTAGACACGATGGGTGTAAAAATGAATCCCTCATTGGTCAATGATTTTGGATATACGTGGTGTGTGCTGCCCATCCGTAACTCTATCACTTTTCGGGGTACCTATGAAATACCTCAGACAGTCTCTCTTTGTCGCTGTAAACACAGAGTAGTCCAAGTACACACGAATCTGATCGAGCCTTGGCAGATCGGTGACACACGACTGTCTTTGTTACACGAAATAGTACCACACAGTTCATTCCAACAGACGGTTATGGAGCAGCCTGAACACATAATCTATCTACCCTTGAGAACCAAGACATCTATTTAACAAGTGGATGTGGTCAGCCTATATCATTTCAAGGTGGAACAGTGAACGTTGTACTACATTTTCGGAGAAGAACAAGATGAGTAGTAGCTTTTACGTCGTGGTAGCCAGTGATGCAAGCATTAATCAGTATCCTTAGAACACACCTTCCAGTTTCAAAATGCAACTCCCAAGTCAACTGCATTTGAGTGGGGATTGGGAAGTGGCCATGATGCATATTATTTACCCACATACTTGGGAAAATATACACAGCAATCAGGTGTCCTATCTTTTACGTTACAATGGTGAAAAGGAATGGACCTTACCAACATATTTACCCCGAGACACATACAGAACAGTCGAGGATTTGATCAGTGGTATGGTGACAGGATTAGAAAGTGCCTTTCCAGACATTTACATCAAGAGTGGAAAGAAGATCAAATGTCTTGGAGGCAAAGAATGTTTCTACATTCACGAAAAAGTCAAATATTACTTTGAATTGTACTTACCCACAGGATTTCAAGCGATGTTACCCAAGAACCTGGCTCGAGCTTTAGGGTATTTGAACCATCGAGATCTCGTACCAGCCCTTTATCGCACCAGTAGTCCTACATCTGTTCAACTAAATAAGAACCAGAGTGTGACCCTTACAGCTACCACCACCACGATACGACGAAACGACGAATTGGTATGGGGAATGTTAAGCAAGCATTCGTTTCAAACCATGTACGTCTACTCTGACCTAATAGAGTCCTTAGTGGTAGGCGATGTACAAGCCAATCTGCTGCGTATGATATTACCTCGCGGTCAGTCGGGTGAAATAGTAGCAGACGAAATCAAACGCCCTACCTATCATCGATTGCGAACATCTATTTTCTCCTCGGTGGAAATGAATATAAGAAGCGACACGGGTCAACTGATATCACTTGCGTCTGGTGCTGTCAGAATAACATTACACTTTCGACGAAGGACAATTCTGTAAGATGCTTCTACCAATGAACCACCAATTTTATCCTTATCAGCGCTATGTGATTCCTTTTGCGCAACGAGGTAAAGGAGATATTAGTATCTATGGAGGAACACACCCGTGTGGTCAAGGTGGAAATGGATTGGGAGGAATGTTTCGTTCTCTCTTTCGAACAGCAACACCTCTTCTCAAGACCGCTGCAAAGAAAGTGGGAAAACGATTACTGTCCACTGGATTAGACACAGGAGTACAAATTGCTCAAGATGTTATGAATGGGCAATCACTGAAGAAAGCAGCGAAAACGAGAGCAAAAGCTGCCGGAAAACAATTTTTCACTGAGGCCTTTCGGGACATGACGCAACAACAAGGGCGTGGAAAAGTATATAAACGCAACCAAAAAGCTAATTCTGTCAGTAAAAGACAAGTCAAGAAAGCGAGAACATCGTCAGCAACGTTCAAGACTATTTTTGACCGAGTATGGTTTCAGCACATCCCTTATCTGCTCCAGGAGTTAACTCCAGTTTGCGGTTATTCGAAGTGCTGGTCACCGATGTTTCTATTGTCAAAAGTAAATGTGTGGACTATGAACCAATTCAGAGTGGCACTAATCCCATAGAATTTGTGATCAAACCTCTGTCCGATTACATCGACATTAACAAGACTGAACTTCGTCTGGTGGTAAAAATTACAAAACGAAACGGAGGAGGGACAGGAGCTGGGAAGAAATATACGTTGATCAACAACGCTCTTCATTCTATCATCAAACAGTTCACTATCAAGATCAATGAAACCCTTGTCACAGAACAATCAGACACACAAGCCTACAATGCTTATATCAAGACCTTGCTTAACTTTACTGATCAGGCCAAGAAATCTTACCTGACAAAAGCGTTGTACTACAAAGACACTGCTGGACATATGGATGAGGTGAATAATACAACAGATCGAAATTTGGGTCTAAAAAAGAGAGGTTCTTTTACCACTGGAGATGCTGAAGTTGGAATGGTTGGTGTACCCCTGTGTGATGTATTCAACCTTGACAAGTTACTGTTGGATGGATTGGAAATCAAAATCAAGATAGATCTTAACAGCACTGAATTTAGTCTGATGGGTGGTGAAGATGCCAACGACTGCAAGTTACAAATAGTGTCAAGCACGCTCCGTGTACGTACTGTTCATGTGGCAGACAGCACTAAATTGGATCACGTAAACACCATGACGGGTCAGAGGGCACTTCCTGCAATCTACACACTAACAAGAACCCCTACGCATGCTAGGATCATTACCAGAGGAGTATTAAATCACACAGAGACCGATCTATTCAAAGGTCTCATCCCCCAATGCATCATATTTGGAATGATGCGAAACGATGCTTACAATGGAAACTTGGGGAGGAACCCATTCAACTTCCAACTGTTTGATCTGAATGCTGTTCGTCTAACAGTCAATGGAGAAGAAATGCCTTACTCAGGCATCGACTTGATAGGTGGCAAGAAAATCGATGGCTACAATACACTTTTCTCAGGCAGTGGTGATATGAACTGTGGTCATGGTATAGACATTGACAGAGAAGAATGGGAGCAGGGTTATAGTTTATTTCGCTTGGACACAACACCAGCAGGAAGTGGCCATCCGGATCATCTGATTCCTAATCGCAGCGGAAATGTCAACTTGTATTTAAAATTTGGCACTGACACCCATGCAGTTCTCAATTTAATTGTGTACGCAGAATTCCAGAATCAGTTGGAAATTGATCGTAACAGACGTGTGGTGTACGACCTGTCACAGGGTGCTTAAAGACAAAACGATGCATACCACCTTTGAGCTATGGCAAGCGGCACTACAAGATCCCATTTTAGCTCCCGTTATGCAAGGTGTCTTCCCAAGAGACAAGTTACCTATCGTTAACAAGTATCCTTCGGGACTGATCGCAAATACGGACCCTCATGATCAGCCCGGGACACATTGGGTGGCCATGTACTTTATTTCTCCGTGGGAAAATGAATTCTTTGACAGTTCCGGGTTTCCTCCCGCTACCTATGGCATGGATGGATACAAAGAGCGAGATGTTACGCGTTACAACAACAAACCGTTCCAGGGACTTACTTCAGACACTTGTGGAGACTACTGTTTATTTTATTTATTTCATCGAGCACATAATGTTGATATGGACGCTCTTCAAGCTAAATTTAGGTCGCATGATACACAGTGGAATGATGCACAAGTAGCCACATTTGTTCACAGCTATGTAAAATCGTTGACAAGTGTTAGGCAGAGGTCACCATTCTTTCAGAGTGAACAAACTTGTAAGTCATTCAAATGTTGGCGTAAGGAATCAATAAAGTGTTGTTTAAAATGAACATGATGTGTTTATTTTGTGTTTTGGACTTGAGATACACCCCTATAAAGAGAAAGGCACCAGTAACTTTGACATCAGTTGGCTTTTCGTTCTGTGTGGGCAGCATGGCTCAGTTCAAATGCCCGCGCAGTGTAATGATCGCAGGGCCGAGTCAATGTGGAAAGACGACGTTCAAAAAACTATTACTTCAGTATGCAGACGTTTTGTTTGAAAGACCTATTCGTAAAATTGTGTTCTGTTATGGGCAGTGACAAGAATGCTTTCAGGACATGGAGTCACAGATTACGTTTGTAGAGGGTATTCCTGAAGATATTCCGGCTTTATTTCCAATGGGTTGTCGTCCAGGTATACTCGTGTTGGATGATTTAATGAGGAATTGTAGCGAGGACGAACGTATTCTGGACCTGTTCACAAAAGTGTCTCATCATTGTGATGTCACCTGCATCTACTTGACACAAAACCTTTTCCCACCGAGAAAATTTTCAAGAAGTATTTCTCTCAATGCTCAATACATCATTGCCTTTAATAATCCTCGTGATACATTGGGTTTCCGAGCATTGGCTCAACAAGCTTTTGCACGGCACGTTCCTTACGTATTGGAAAGTTTTCAAGATGCCACCTCGTAGCCGTATGGTTATCTCATGTTGTATTTACATCCGCGAACACCGGCTATCCTACGATTACGTAGCAACATACTGCCTGTCTCACAATCTTTGCCTGTGGTCTACGTCAACAAGAAATCCCATAAAACAGACGGACCTCTAACTGTCGACGTCAGTTAGCACCATGCCTTCGTGTAAGGCAAGTGGCACAGTGAAGTCAAGAGTTGTTCATCAACGCGGCGGCAATATGGTCTTACGTTCTGGCACTACGACTCAGACCAGAGGGACAAAACGAAAGCGGTCAAGTATTGCCAAACAATCCAAATTCCAACAACACCTACCCTTTCTTTGTGCGTGTTTTAAAAGCAATGGAAAGCAATGGAAAGCAACGAAAAGATATGATAGCCCATGCTAATAGAGGACAGATGGAAGCTATTGGGGAAGTGACCCTGAATCTTCTTAAAGGCAACATCATAGTCCCGAGTTCGTCATTTAAACTATTGAAACCGCACAAGTCAAAGCTCCTCTATTTGACCCGCAAGAAACCAAGCCTTAAACAGAAGAAGGAAGTGATCAATCAAAAAGGAGGATTTTTATCAGCCCTTGCTGCTCTGGCTGCACCCCTTGCTGTTGATTTACTGGGTAAAGTGTTCAAATGAAGCACGCTCAAAAGATGGTGATTATACCGGAACATTTATTACAGAGCATGGAGACAGAAGGGCGTTTAACTGCTCCTGTTCAACTTGCAACGTTGACGAGATTAGATCAAGACATGAAGCAAATCATAGAGTCTCCTTTACAAGAAGACCAAAAAGTCCTCTTGTTGGATCAACTTCTACAGCGGTATCAAGGACTGACAAAACAAATGAAAACGGAGTCGGCGATAAAACCGACTGTGGTCCTTCCCAAACCAGATCCTTTGCCTGCTACAGAGACATCCGGCAAAACAGATGAAGGTACACCTGCAGAGGCGTCCAGGAAAAGAGACCTCAATACATCTCAATCAAAGTCTACAAAAATGCCAAGAAAACTACCCGCGACACCTGTGACTACAGTGGAATCGAAAATTCCTCGCCGAATAGAAACGATGCCTTTTATTTCACCTGAGGAAATGGCCCTCCCTTTGTTGTTGGATATCCCGCCTGATTCAACACGCAAATCATCTAATAAACGGAAGGCGAGAACATCCATGGTGGCCAGGTTGCGGAACAGGAAACGATGGGAACATTATTAAACTAAACGTTATTTATGTAATAGGTTGATAAACTACAAGTATCATTTTGTTACAGCTCCTGTGAATTCAATAAAACACTTGTTAGTGTATGAAAAATGGCATTTGTGTGAAGCAACAAGCCTTCATTCCCGATGGACCATAGTAATAATGAGATGGACCAACTACTACTACAAGCGATAGACACTTCCAAGGTTCCAGGGTATCAAGAGTTTATGCATGACCTCATTGTAGAAGACATCTCCAATCTCGATTCTAAACTTTGAAACGTTAAACTCGTTCTTGTTTGAATGGAACAAACAAGTATATGACGCTGTTTGTGAAAAAGCTATTTCTTACTATGACACGTATGCGACAGAAAAGATAAAGTCCTTAGGGAATTGAACATGTCTAGGCAATGATGCGAACTCTTTTACAGATTAGAGAGAAAAAGATTGAAGACCTGAAACAACGTATTCGAACCAAGAAGAGAGAAACAGAGAAGACAATCATTTACAATAATACCATTGGAGACTTTGATTTGTTGTGTGTCCATTGCCAAAGATATCTTAAAACTCTGTAAACCTTGAATCTAAACTTGTGATTTGCAATGTAATAAAATGATGTGACTGTTTTACTCTAACATGAGATCCTTAAAGTATCGGGTTAATGTGGGGTTGATGTCAGGTTGATGGTAGGCTGATGGTAGGTTGATGGTAGGTTGATGGTGCGTTGATGGTGGGTTGATGGTGGGTTGATGGTGGGATGATGATAGGTTGTTGGACAGTCCTCGTCTTCTAACATGAGATCCGTCATCAAACAAACGTTTTCAAACGTTTTCTCTTAATGCGCATGCGTAGTACGCTGCTAATGCCCAGTGCGAAGGGGACAAAAATTCTCTCCCACAAGTGTGAGCTCACAACTTCGTACACCAATATAAGGTCCGCTCACCATAATTTACATAACGAAACTGAACGTTTTAAAATTAATAGGCTTTTTTACCAGCTGAAAATGTAAATCAGCAGGCGTTCATGGAAAACAAGAGACTATGAGGGCTTACCACTTCTATCATAGTCTCCTACAATCTTCTTTAAAGAGTTGCTTGAAAGTATGGGCGAAATTTATTGCTAAGGCAAACGCACAGCTAAAACAGAGGCTGCATGCTTAGAGCTAAGTCCCCTTAGTTCCATTCGAGAGTTTCCCCTCCCCACCCAGTCCCCTGTCAGGCGTACTTGACATTAGTTTCCACCAAATTGCTCACTTTTTCTGGCTTGGCATGTGCCATAAGCCTACATTTTGCCCAAACGTTACCCAGAAATGCAAAACTTGCTCGAGATTGCCAAAACTGGGGGGTGGGGCGAAAAGACGAATGTCAGTTCAAACTACGACCTACCACTTTTCTCCCCTCAATTTCATTTTTCTAAGAATACAAGTAAGGAAATCATAATCGTATTTCAAAACGAAACTGTTGTAAAAGAGGCTTTTTTAACAGCTTGAAAGTCTAAGCAGGCGTTTATGAAAAACAAGAGACTGTAAGGGCTTACCTGCACTTCATAGTCTCTTGCGGAAAATATTTTGTTACGTTTTCAGGGTCGCTCTAACGGATAATTCAATGAAACTAAGGATTTTGAAGATCTGCATGCTTCGCTTTTATAGTTACGGAAGGTGCCGCGTTACGTTCTTTTTCAGAATGGTATCTGTCTTCACGGAAAAACCTGCGTCTCAAAGATCTTTATCACTCAATCTCGTTTCGCTAAAGGCTTCGGGTCTGTTGTCAATAAACGTGAGGTAGGTCAAAGTTTTTTCCTTTTTTATAGCTATAACGATTTGTCTCACGAGAAATGAGGGCATTTTAAAGAATAGTTAACGACACTAAAGTCGTTTAGTTTGTAAATAAATGATAACTGTTACAAATGCCGTAAAAGTAAACAAATACGCACGTAACGGAAGTGTTCATAGCCCACTTTCGCACACTAAAATTACTTCTCCTTTTGAAAAACTGATTGCTATTGTGAAGTCTAGAACAATTTTTTGTATTCACCAATAAAACTACAAATTCAAAGGTTGTAGATCACGCGAGAAGCGTAAATGTTTTCAGTTGTCACTCACTCGCAGTTTCAATTGCCCCAAATTTTTATTTCACAGATTGATAGGAGAAGCATTGCTCTTTCTCTGAGATGGGTGTCAGTAAAACGCAGGGTCGGGATCGGGGTCAGTGCCGGGGTCGGGTTCTATTTGTTTTTTTTTTTTTTTAAGAATGCTGTTTTAGGGTTAGGGTTACGGTTAGTGTCGACCCCGCGTTTTATTGATGGTCGCGATAATATTGATTTAGAGGGTAATTTTGAAAAAAAAATTAAAAAATCCGATTGAAATCTTTTGAAACTGTAACAACGTTTAGATACAAAAGAAGGATCATAAAGTTGTTTTATATTAAAAAACTCACGGTATTAGTTTCCGTTTCCATTCAAGAAGGGACGAGGATGCCAAGCACGTATTTCGGTGGTTTAAAGGCCTCTCGAAGGTGAACATTGAAAAGTTGTTTATTTTTGAAAACATAAAGTCAAACGAACTGATTCTTGTATTTTCTAAAATAGTTTTCAAACAGCGTTGTTGTGACAAAGTTTGGGGGATTTCGATTTTTCCCTCTTGCTCGCCTATCCGTGGTATTTACAGAAAGTCGCTCGTAATAATATAGACAGAGCAAAGACAGACGGCTCCAGAGGAAGAATATAGAAAAATACCACTCCACGGATGACAACTTGTATATGAAGAATATCTGCTAGAATAACCATCCCTTCATATGCTGAAAGTGCTAAGGTACAGGAAAATGTATTAAAAGATATATTACAAAGAGGTAAGCACGTTTTGAGAATGGAAAGAAGGTATTATATTTGCACGCAAAAAGGTATTACACGTATATTCCCTTACCTTTTTCTTTTCTAAGAATTTCATCCCCAAAGCGATTTGAAACGCGATTTTAAGTAACGTCCGGTCGTTTAAGCCAAAACGTACATTTACATAACGACTCTCCTCACCAGAAACGCATGCTATTCGTTTTGATATTAGGAAGTTCTTTAAACTACCATACGGAACCAGTTCAGTCAAAACAAGAATCTTCTCTGAAATAATAATAACAAATAAAAAAGAAACAGATTAAAGAAGAAGGAGCCGAGTATTCATTGCAACAAATACAGATTAGGAAAAAACATACCCTCTCGAGTACAAACGCCAACTAAGCTGACGATGTTTGGATGCCGTCCAGCTTTTTTTAACACCTTTACTTCACTTAATAAATCGTTTTTGTCTGCCATGCTTGTACCATCTGGAGAGAGGAGAGGACATTTGAAAAGAATAAGAAGGCGTGACACAAAGAAGTAAATGCAAGAAAAATATATTGATGTACATTGTGTACATTTCTTCTGCAACACAGGTTTCGTTGCGGCAGGTCTACTCATTCCTTTAAAAGTAGGGCTGATAAATGAAGAAAAAAAAAACATATCAACCAAATTAGGTGCCTTTCATTCATTTATAATAGTACCTTTCAGCTGCTTTACTGCGACATCATAGATCCTTCCATCTTGTCCCCGGTAGCTACCTTTATTAACAATTCCAAACTCTCCCTCTCCAAGTACTACGTCAGACACCATTAATCTATCCAAGTCAATCTCCCAGCTTTCTTCCTTCTGCTTTAATAAGATACTATAAATATTTTTCTATTATCAGAAAAATTATTAAGGTATAATAAAAATATAGGTATAATAAAACTAATGCTCTCGCTGTCTGACCCCATACTTATTCCAGTATGTAATCCGAAACTATTAATAGGCTGTCCGAGTAAGAATCGACCACTTGATCATGATCAAAATTGCGATTCTGTTCAAAATTTGTCACGGCCATAAAACAAGGTTCACATAAGATGAAAGAGAAAAAGTTCCTTTGGTTCTAAATCTTTATAATACCTTAAATATTGAGGCAAAATGTCACCGATACCCGGAAACCTCAAAACAGGTATTTCGCGAAGCCAAAATTTGCCCGATTTCGGTTGCTTGCTTCTCGACGGGTATTTATTAGAATAACTCCAGATTCACATACTGCGCATAATATATACACACACCGAAATGCTTTAACTCAGTGGTAATGTATCGGTCAAATCGAAGCTTCAACATGCCCCCCCCCCCGGGCATACCCCGGGGATTTGACACCTTTGACGTCCCGGGGAGGAGGAAATTTGATTATCAGAGTCTTCCAGGGGGTGGGGAATTTGATCCCCATGCTTTAGGGGTGAGGGAATTTGAACTGAACCCTCAATTTCATGTAAAATCTTTGGCATGGCGAGCTATCATGGGGGACGCGGTGTTAGAGGATTTTCGTGGAAAAGATCGTGCCTTTGAGGCCAATTGGTTTCGAGGGAAGGGCTTAAACAAGCTTTGTGCTGTATTTGAAGTATTTATATTTTAAAAATTTTAATACTGGATTCAGGCTTTGAATGTATGAATGTATTTTATTGTCGTGTTTTATACAATGAAATACAATACCTATACCGGCGATTCAATACAACAACATAAAATAAAATAAAATAAAAAGCTCAGGTCAACTACTTTAACCTACTGCAAGTATGTTAGTTAATAAGGTGATCGATGATGCATATCAGTGAAATGGTCATGATGTAGTAATCTCAATAGATGGGGTCTTTTTTTATAGAACGTTTTGAGCATTCAGTGACCTTGTAGCAGCGATTTCCGCCGCTTTGCACGCGACTTTTGTTCTTAGTCAATACGCTAACAGTGTTTCTCAGTTTTGTTATATCTATAAAGATTTTTCTCGACAACTGAAGGCGTTTCCGCCGTCTCTCTGTCAGTTTTGTGCCTGTGAAACGTCCCCGGGGTGGGGGCATTTGATCACCTGAATGGACCATAGTGTGGGGCATTTGAACGGCATTTTGGCCCGGGTAGGGGGGAATTTGAACAATAATTGTCAAAAAAGTCAAATGCCCGGGGGGTTGCCTGGGCGGGGGGGCATGTTGAAGCTTCGATTTGACCGATACATAAAACCTGATCAAAGTAACATCTATTGTCTAATGACCAACCAAACGCTTGCGTTGATGGTACAACACACTCCCTGAACGCGAGCTGCAGTGATGTTAGGACAGTTCCTCCATTTTTCTCGCTTCCTCCCAAACTAATCCCCGCTCCCTAAGTGGTTTTGACACTCATCCAAGATGGACGCCAGTAACGCAAAGCGTTTGATCTCCACGATCTTACAGAAAAAAAGGCACTGTGAACAGACTTTTCTCTGGGTGGAATTTCTCTTTGTCAGTGGACCCTTATATTTAATGCTCCAACGCCCACACCCTTCAAACCTTGCCTAGTTCTGAACTCGGCTGCAAAACCAGGTTTATTTCATAGGTACTGAGATTAATCCACGAAAATCATAGTGAATAAAATTCGTACTGATTCTGCTCGTAGCCAATCAGGAGCACGAACGACAAAATTTCACTGTAAAAAACTATCATTCGTCCAATCAGCAAAGCGAACGATGAAATTTCACTGATGATGAATGAACGTACTAAAGAGAACGGCACCCGTAAGGCGTTGCACAAAAGGCTGCGCGCTTTGAAAAAATGGCCGAGGGAAGGTTTACTTCTGTTTGCTCGCTTGAAAAATTTATGTTGGAACACGAAAACAAAAATACCGCTCAAAAACTGAACGAGACGTAAGATTGCTTGAAAGATCTTTGAAAATGAAAGACGAACACAGGAAAATTGAAGATATTCCAGCGGCTGAGCTGAATGGACACATTAGCGAATTTATCATCTTTGTCCGCACTAAAGATGGCAACGAGTACAAGCCGACTTCGCTTCGAAGTTTAATGGCCAGTTTCGAACGACAGTTGAAGAAAAAGGGCTATTCTGCCGGCATAATCAACAAAGCTCTTCAATCCAAGCAAAAACGGCTGAAGAAGCAAGGAAAAGGGAATAAACCCAAAGCATCGGCAGCTTTGACTTCAAAGAGTTAAAAATACTGTACGAGAAGGGTTTGCTCGGCATGTGTAGTCCTGAGGCACTGTTTTAAAAACACGCTCTGGCTGGACAGCACAGTAAGTGTTCTAAATTTTATAGGCTTTCAATAACTTAGTTGTTGTTGAGCGATTTTAAATTGAGTACTTGATACACTTTTGATCGCCCCAATTGTGCAATTTGTCTACTAAATTACATGAACAAATCTCAGTACCTATGAAATAAACACAGTTAATACGTATCAGAAAGCTCACTCGTTATTTTTCTGATACTACTCAAATCTTAAATAAAAATCTTACGCGCGCATTTCCCATGAAGTAATCTGGGGCTGGTCCCTTAGCTAGGTCCAGTTTCGTTAAGGGAAATAATGTCTAGCTGCGGATAACTGTTGATAGTCATGCAGTAAGAACTCCTTAAACTCCTTAAACGTTGATGTCGTCGCTCGTGTGTTCAGGTGTATGATGGTAAGGTCCAAGAATTGTTTTTAAATGGCTTCATGTCAACAGTCTGATAAGTCTTCCTAGATCATAATCGTTCTAAATGGTAGCTTAAATGATACTTTTTCAACTTGAATCTTATTTGTTAAATGTATTTGCCTTCATGATTGTACATATTTTGTCTAAAATAATTGCATTTATTTGCATTTAACTCCAGTGGAAGGGAGGGAGGATTGGCACTAGTTCCTTTCTCGGTCGTGCGTTCTACGCAGCTTTTTGCCATGTGCTTGTACATATCGTAGCTTCGCTGAACACACGTTTATTCCCCAGAATAGTTTCTTATGGTGTGTTGTTGTCGTTGTTTACACTATGGCGACTAGAGAGAGCAGCAGGAGAACGAAACATCCGATAAAACTAAAAGATTTCGTCGCGGATCATTTTGTAGCAGAATCCACAACACCTCAACAGATGAGCGTAGCAGTCAAACGCCGGCGAGCTGAGTCAGGTTGAGTCTTTGATAAAAGACCTTGCTACAACTAGTTTTAAGGCAGAACAACCCACTGTAAACGACAGTGCGACCAAAGATCTTCGAAACCGCGATTTACGTCCCGAACTGGACCTTACTAGCACCAAACTCGAGCTGTTAGTCTGGGAGCATCTGTAATGCCGTGGGAATTTCGTGAAAAAAGCAAGCCACCTATCCAGATGTATTAAGCGAACTCTAGGGAACATAAAAAATTAATGTTGTCGGCAATTTTGTAACTCGTACCGTTGGCCACAAGGGTGGATTTAAAATGTGACGTTTGAATTCTAGCATGGAAACGAGGCTGGACCTTAAGGTACCTGTAAACTATCTTTAATAACAAGAGATTGTTATCAGAATTACTCCAATAACACATAATAGTGTATCTGACTTAAAAACATATCTGTTAAGCAATTAATCTGGTCACGTGACCACAATAGCATGGAAACGAGGCTTCACCTTAAAGTACTTGAAAACCATCTTCAATCGACAATGACAACAGATTGCCATCAGAATTACTCCTATAACACATAATGGTGTATCTAACTTGAAAACGTATCTGCTTAAGTATATGCTGGTCACGTGACTACAATAGCATGGAAGCAAGGCTTCGCCTTCAAGGACCAGCAAACCATCTTTAATGACAACAGATTGCTACGGCTTAACTAGTGGGGATCTACCTCTGCTGCCGGTTGTAGTCATGTCATTACTGGAACCCATTCACCTTGAAAGAAACCCAGTTTCTACCTTGCTTCATTGTCACAAAGTCTTAAATACGTTAGTTTAATATCCAAGTACTTTTGTCAATTTTCCTTCCGAAGGAGACATCACTGTTTACAAACATTATTCAGAATTTGTTCTGAATGAGGGAAACAAAAGAATCTTTGGTTGCAAGAACCAATGCCCTTCTGGTTGGCGTATTAATATCAACAGGTGACTTCAGCGTGATTATCACTATGGGTTCGGGTGACCGCAGCTCCGGGTTTTGTACCTTGTAATTGGGTCATATCATCATCAGGTAATGTGCTCGTAATTTGCCCTCGTTCTTTCAGATTGGGCTCCCTCTTTCGGATAGATGAGCAATCACCTCAGCAGTTCTTTCACACTAGAAATGCAAGTCTTTGGCTGATACAGCTGGCAGACAAAATTGTCAATTACAGCAACGGTGTTGAGGCCTCAAATGTAATAAATGACCCTAAATGTAATAAAGGTCCTAAGTGTAATAACTTTTGGCCCTAAATGTAATAAAGGGTCTAATAATATTATATGTGTAATAGGTTTTAGCCCTAAATGTGATGGAAGTCTTAACAGTATACTGCAGGTATGTAGTATAACAACCCCAAACTTGATAAAGTCCCTGACTGAAACATTCGACGGTCTGATGCGATATTAATTTCATAGCCAGCTGGCGACTCACTTTCTTCGCCCTATTGTAGTCTTCATAGATATTCATAAACTTAGAAAGCGGGTAGAGCGCTCAAGAAGTAGGAGAAACACTTATAAATTAACTACGACTCGATCGTGTTTCCTACTACATCCCTACATCGTAAAACGCGAGTTATAAACAAATGGGATCTACACAAAAGTTTTCAAAATACAGTAGTAATTTAGTAATTGAAGGAAGTATTAATGTTCATTAGAAACAATCGTAGTAAATTAACTTCTTTTGCCTATGGGGTTTTTTAATGTTCCGCCCAAAAAAGAAATGGTTTATTTTTATTTTTT